TATTCAATTAATTTTTTACTTAAAATCATTGTTGATACATCAAAGTTGCCTAAAAAATTAGGTTCTATCTAATGAAAATTGTTTAAAACAGGAAAAATTCATGTATACCTTCAGAGTTAATGAAATTATTTTTCAGATAAAATGTGTTATAGATATACAGGCTTTGCCTAATCAAAATTAGTATTTTGAATATGAGATAACCAAATATTTGACTTTATCTTTTGAAAAGAATAAAACTTAGTTTCTTTTCTTAATGTCTTTAACTTGTTACCAGTCAACTCACAATAAAATCAAATCAGAGAAATTCACAATCCTTCAATACGACTAAAACCTATGAGGTACCAAACCATTAAATTGTTTTGTTCATTTACTGTAAAATATTACTTATTTAATTTTTTTTATAAATTTTAACTGTTACAATCAGTTTAAATTATAATTGATTTATGGTTCAAGATTTTATTATAACCCACTTGAGTATTCTGCATTATTTAGATTTATTTTTAATTTATTTATTTATTGAGATTAAACAGGCTGAGCCCTTTTGTTAAAATTAAAATACATACACTCATATACATACTCATATATACATTTACACTTAACCATTTTAATAAAAACAAAGAAAAAATAAAATGAATACATACAAATTACTAATGATGTATAACTAGGTACATATAATACCAGACAACCAAGTAAAAATAAATAGCATAATTAACTTTATTTTAATATATTTAAAGAGTATAAATTTGTATATAATTAATAATTATTTATGTTACATATTTGACAAACTTTGTATAAATTTAAAAATATATAAATAACATTTTTATTTTCATGAAAATATAATGATAGAAGCTGAGATAAAAGCTTTTATTTTTTAACTTAATAACTTTCTAGAATGTAAATAACACTTGGTCCAAAAAAATAATAAATGTATAACAATTAACAAAAATAAATTATTTTTTAATACTACATAAATTGACCTTAATGTCTAAAACTAATCAGGACAAAACTCTGACAAAGAATACAATAAAATGTATTATGATGAAAAATGTATATTATATAATGAAGAATAATAAATCACAATAATTACCACCCAGTATAAACTAAAAAATCATTTTTGTTTGTATACTTTTTGATGAATTGTTTACCAGCACGTGTAGGCACTGTAAAGGCTATTTCATCAAGTGTCAATATGTGACCAAATGCATAATTTTTACTAAAAAAAATAATAAAATAATAGGCTAGTTAAAATTCATCTATATACAAAACATTAATTATTATTATATTTTTAATATCAAAAACCTCACCGGAAAAAAGTCTAGTAATTTTTTTGCAATTCCAGTTTTACGGCAATCCCATTTTGTCCAAATACTGTTAACACCTGCTTTCACAGGATATGATTCTACAGATACAACAATCATATCTTCTGTTTCAGTCTCTATATTCTGATAAGCCCGAGATACAAAATCTATTACTAGGCATCCAATCACTTGTTTCTTTTTTATATACAAATAAACCTGAAAATAATAATAATATTTTATAACAATTATAATTTTTAATACAATCATCATTACTATTAATAGGTACGACAGAATAAGTACTTTTTTAGTAGTGGGTAAAACAGAAAGTCCTGTACTGCAGCCAAGTTCTGCATCAACATATGACATCACTTCTAAAGCTTTTGAACATAAAAGTTTAGAATCTGATCCAGATATTACAACTATGCGTTCATCAAAATCTTTAAAAATAACTTTTTCATTTTTTACGGTCTAGAGTACATAAATATAATATATTAATTAATAATTACTAATCAGATATTAGAAATAGAAAAATGTAATTTAACTAGTATACCTTATACTTGAAAATATCCTTGGCTTTATGGTATTTGTCATGTTCTGCTTCATCTTCTAGTTCTCCTCTTGAATAATAAAGACCACATTGTTTGCATAAAAAACCACCAAATTTCTTTTGTCCTGCATAAATCTGATATTGAGTGTTGTCAATATTTTTTCTTGTTTTTCGCACTGTACTTTTTTTTTTTTCACTAGGACTAATAATATTAAAACTCAATTAATAAAAATAAAATATATTATAATTATATTTTTTTTACTTTTAAGTTATATTTCTTCAATTACTAAGGTTATAAGTCTAGATTTGTTGTATAATTAGATTAATGTGAATAATTCATATTATAAAAAAATTATATTATAAATATAGTGATAGACATAATTTATATACAATTACCAAATAATATGACTAGATGAAGGTGTTTCATTATTAAAAATTGGGAACAAGTTTGTTCGTGGAGATTCATTTACATTAACTGAAGTATCAGGAAACTCTTTTATAATTGTATTATTAATATCGATTGAAGTATCAACTGATTCGTCTATAATTGTGTCATTAAAATCAGTTGAAGTATTTGATACACTGAAAAATATGAATAATATAATGAATATTTTATTTTTAACTTTTTTAAACACTTACTCCTTTAGATGAGCAGCTGGTGAAGAATAAGCAGAAAGACATTTTTCTACATCACAATCCTCATAAAAATCATAAGCATTCTTAATTAAAACTGGTTTTAGAATAGAGCTTTGATTTTGGACATCTTTATTTAAAAATTCTGAATCTTAATAAACAATTAATTAAATTTATTAAAACTATAATACATTAAATATTTATTTTTTTTTTCATTACAGTTTACTTGGATTACATTTTTTATAAAAATAAAAATATGGGTTGTGATGTACACAATTTACCAGAATAAGCAATATCTATCAGTAATCCCAACATTGAAAAAAGAATAATTGTAGCTACATACTCGTTTAAAAACATTTATGGTACATTTTTTAGAATCTTATTAAGATTCAACTAATGTGGTGTTAAAATTAATTATTTAGAGAACTGGGAACAAACAGTAAATTATATTTAGTTTATTAGATATCACATATCATTTAAAATTACTGCTGTAACAATATCTGTTTAAACTTACATGTTACTAATTCAAGTAATATATTATAATTATTCTTATAATTTCATCAAGAACTTTACTTGAAAAACAGTTAAAACAATTAGTTGAGATCACCTATCTATCCATTGATTATGGATATAATATTTAAAAATTCTTTTGCAGATTTAAATAAAACATTTTTAATTTAAAGAAAAAATAATAATATTGTATGAAATCATTAATTATATACTAGTGATTATAAAAATAAATATAATATATATTATATAAATATTAAACATACACAAGCCCAGTAATTAAATACAATTTTAGGGTAAACTCTAGTATTACATAAAAATTAATTTAGTGGATCATATTTGACATTATAACTTAATTATAGATTATTTTATACCTTTATAATTTCTTTTTAATGTTGGAGTTGGTAGCAAACTATGTGCAGCTGTTAAATAGCTATCATCTAACAATTCTATTGATTTATTTATATATTGTTCATTTTCACTGATATTGTCATCATTGAATCTTTCTAGAACATTTAAATTAGATTCTTTGACTTCAACTGTAGAACTAATATTATTTTCATCATTCCAATTTATAACTTTAAAGTTAAAACCATTATCTTTTCTAAAAAATTAAAAATATTATTAAAAAAGTAACAACAATTAAAATTGATTTCAAAGAAAACTTTACTTCTTATTTAGTATATCATTATGAACCACTTTAGACTTGAAAAATTTTCTGTTGTCGTGTTGTTCCATAAGAATACGTTTGGGTTTATCTTGATTCATGTATTCTGTCCATACATTTTTTTTTGAAGAAGATTGTTTAGGAGTCTTAGTATTTTTAACTACATTTTTTTTAGTAGAATTGGTTTCCTCTTCTTTTTTAAATGATTTTATATCTTTAGGCTTCTTTTTAAATGGTGGTATAACATCAGGAAACAAATTAATTTTTGTTTTTAGTTCTCGGCTAGTAGATCTAGGTCTTTTTTTACTAGTTGACTTATTATCTTTAAATAAGTTTGCTTTTACTTTAGGATTATAATGTGAACGAGTAACTCGTTCAATACTAAAATTTTTAGGTGATATCTGTAAATAAACATTAATTTTAGGGTATTATTAAACAGTTAATTTACATCTTACACAATAGTTTCTCACTTTATATTTTTGTTGTTTCTTTTTAAAAGTTTAAGTATGATGAGACAATAAAAAAATAGGCACATAGCAAAAATGATTTTTTTTTTTAATTTGTGATTCCAATAGGGTTATATTTAAATTATTTTTTGAGTATTAGTTAAGTAAAAAATATATAAATATTTATTAAATTAGTAACATAATCTAAATTTCTTACTGTTTTATAATCATAAAAACATGAAGCTTTTACTTCAGACTCAGCATTGTTGTTTTTAATTTTATTTAAGCTCAAGCTTTCGTTTGAATGATTTTTGTCTCCTTTGACATTTTTTGAATTCAATGGTGTTGTGGCAGTTTGTTCAATTGTTTGAAGATTTGAAGGTTCAGTTGTGGTAATTGATGATAAACATAAATGCTCATGCTTTGATTTTGAAATAAGGCTTTCAAATTTTTCACTTAAAGTAGGACTTAATTTAGTTGAATTTATATTTGAAGATGTTTCAGAAAAAGCATGCTCAGGATCATAAACCATAGAAGGAGAGATATTTTCATCTGAATTGTTTTCAGAAAATAATCTACGTTTTCGATTTGTTGAAAATGGCGATGGTTCAATTTTATTTAACCGAAGAGACTTACGAGGATTTGTATAAGTAAACATTTTAACCTAAAACAAATTACAATATTAAATATATTCAATAAATAATAATATACACTATAAAAAATATACCTTTAAAATACATTTCCTTCATAAACCTAGTTTAATTGAGAACATTGTAACTTTACCAGATACCCTTATTTTAACTAGGTATTTTTTTGGAAAGGACTCATATATTTTGGTATTTTGAAAATGATGAAGTCAGAATTTGAATGTTCATCAAATTTGAAGCTCTTTTAAGTTAACTGTTTTCATGGTATAACATTAAATAATTATCTTTGGGTTTTCAAAGTCATAATCCAAATATAAAAATGGGTAGTAAAGTAATAATAGGTTTGGGTACACCTTCAATTGTTAAATATTTATGTACCATTAAGAAATAAAGGACAAATTTTAAGTAATAATAGGGAAAACATACTTAATTTAATAGCCTGATTTGACTTTTTGAGAAGTTCTATTTATGATTTTTCTTTATTGTACCTTGTACCTATACCTAATAATTCATAATATCCTATCATACTATCATATAAATTGTATAAACTACTATAAGGATTTGTCTAATGTTAGGTAACTATCTACTGTAATTACTATTTTTTTTTTTATTCTCATAATTAGGCAAGTGAGGTAAAAATTTTTTTTCTTAAAATAGAAAAAGCATAACTTGAAAGAAATGTAAAAAAAGACTATTACTATCAATTCTAATTGTTAAAAAACTTAATAACCTTTCATGTTAACATGAAATTAACAGTAAAGTATATTGATTTGAATGTTAATACATACATAGGTTTCTAACAACAATAATAATATTTAACTTAAAATTTGTGATTGTTATAATGTTTGAAAGATCTCAATTAGTTATCACTCTTTCGTCAAATATTTAATATATATTATGCATTGATACGTCATAATACCTAAACGATTACTTTTGCCTTTGGCTTTTCATAACATTTTTGCAAATGAATAGTATTTAAATATTTAACACTTAAAAGTATGAAATATTGCAACAGGTACTTACGTCGGACCTTAAACCTTATTCAATTCCACTACACTACCAGACTACGTAGTACGTATTACTAATTAATAAGCATTTCAGTAATACACGACAGCCATCAGCTATTCACTATTCAGTTCTACGCGCTACCAAATACTAATCAATCACTGTTAAAAGTAAAAACGTGGAAAATTTTAAATTTAGATTTTGGACGATTTGGTAAATACAGCTGAGTAGTGACAACAAATAACAATAGTGATTTAATATAGGAAGTGATAATAATATTATTTATATTTCAAAGATATTCCAAGTAAATGGATTTGCAATCTAATTCAAAATAAAACGACGTTAATGTCGATATCATATTTTGGCTGTGATGTCCAAGAAACCGAGAATTCGTCACAATATATTATATAATCAAGAATGAATAATAACTTAGACCTTGGTCCAAAAAAATTAAATCATTAAAGCTATTGATCGAATACCAGTGTACATTATGTCTCCTTATTGTATTTTAGTAAAGTAGTAATAATAACACATTAACACCTACTTATGAAGTAGGTATATAAAAAAACACATTTTTTTAATAACAAAATAACACTTTTTTGAGGAGTTCAGTGTAGGCAACTCTGACAACTTGTTGACGGTGAAATAATTTTGTACGCGAATCGAACATTCGAAATTTCGAACTTCCAAACCATAGGGGTCGATCATGATGTACACAAAATACCGTTGTTGATAGTAATCACTCAGTGGCTAAGTAGGTATAACTTTTGGGGAAGAACACCACTCGGCAGTTAATGGTAAACCCATGTACAACTAACATGGGATTTAATACTTATAAGCATTTTAACTGAAACTGGGAGGACTACTTCTAATATGATGATATAGGGAATGTTAGAGAACGAGAAATTCTGAATTTGGCGAGGAGCTAGATACAGACCATCTGTTTACGTGCTCACTTTAACTTGTTAAATGCAGAAAACGGCAATTTATAATGATAAGTTATATCACAGACAAGGTGATATAAATAATTACTTAAAGGTAAAGAAAGGGAATATAAAGCTGAAGATCAACATGAAAAGGAAAATTAGGTGGCTTAATGAATTTATAAAGCTTTGTAAAAAATGCAAAACCCCGTCAAAATTTAAAAGCATAACTTTATTACAGCTATTGTCATAAGATTATATGAATTTCCAATGGGTTGCAGTAAAACGTAGTATATATTGTAATAATTAAATAATAAAAATTTTTTTTCCTTTTTCCAATTCAACTATATGACTAAATATCTATGTAGTATGTACATATATATATATTCCTATTTTTCAACATCAGTGAAATATCATATTTTACTATCAGCGTGTACACCATTTTCCAATTTCATAATCACTACAATAGTACAATGATACTATTGATGAGTACTATGATTGATTAATGGTTAAGTGTGATTAAATGAAAATTATTAATAATTATTAATTACGACCACAAACTTCCACAGTTAGCCGAACATTTTCAATTGCATGTTTCAAGTTATCAACACAAATAAAAACAACTCAGAATTTTAACACTGTCAAATAAATGCTTTTGTACAAAATAATTCGTTTTAAAAAAAACTTGTTTTAAAATCGAACAGATGGCGCTTTTGTATTCGTATTTCTTTTTTTTTTCATTGAACAAAATAACGCTTCAACAAAAATGATTATTAGCGTGTAGATTACATTTTTTTTATTATTATTTTACACAGTCCTATTATTATGCTAAATTAAATTGTGCTATTTTGACATTTTTAAAAAATTTGTTACTTTTATGTTTGCATCTTTATCAGGTCCCAGGATTTCGAATAGTTGATTCGTATTTCCGTTACTATAATATACCTGAACGTTTGATACTATCTTACTTGGTTGCCAGGAGTGGCAATACAACAGCTGGTACGAGGAAGTATATACGTCGGCTTATATCACCGCGCCTGGTTATAATATAAATATTAAATTGTTTGTGAGGATAAGTAACGAACAAGTATACGAGTATAAATACTTTTAATTAAATATACATATTACACATGAAATGTATATTTAATCAATGTAAATACTATGTCTATTGTCTTAAATTAATAAATTATAATTGATATACCGATACATTATACCTAGTATTTGTAACAATGTATACTAACCAATAAATATGTCTTGATAATAAATTGGTTAGTAGCGTAACTTTTAAGTACACTTGCAGTAATGTAAACACGTTATGACTTTTGTATCGGCAAGGTTTTGGGGAAAGTTAGTGGAAAAATCTAACTTATAAACCAAAAAATTAAAATTTTAAAGTATTTATAAGCAAACAAACTATAGATAAAAAGTGGTTTTAAAGTAAAAACACTTACTATAAAAATAATGTCTAAAGAACAATATTTAAGATACGACCACATTAGCGTTTTTAAAATATTTTTTACAAAAAAAAAGTTTTTGTTTCTTATTTAACGAGGTGTTTACCTATGTATTTAGAATAATAAAAAACTCTTATAACTAATAAAGTTATAAGGTTATCAGACACCGGTATTAATACCGAAAATATATTGGACTCTATATATTTAATGGTATGCGTTTTTACTCATAAACCATTTTTTTAATAAGGTTTAGTTTATTTTGCGCATAAACATGTTAACGTCGTTTAATTCTTTTATTTTTACTTCTAATTTCTGTGATGTACTGAGTTTACATGATAATAGAATGATACAATAGTTACAATCGATACGATTTTTTATCACAGCTAATACCTTGATACTATGATATATAGCATTTTATAACTGCATAAACATACGTTTTACTATAATAGGCCTTTGAATTTGGGAGTCTAATATTGTATAAGACCATATTTAAAACTATTTTTTCATATACATTTGTAAACTTTTTTTAAATTTATTTTAAATCATTAAAAATACTTCAAAATGAATTTAGGTTAGAGTTTTTCCACTGATAACTTCCCCCTCCCCATTCAAGTATATATACGTGATACGCCACTATGGTGATATTACCAATCGCTTCATTTTTAAGAAATATTTATTGTTATTAAAAATACTCATGATCATGGTTCATCAAAAAAATATATTAAAATTTAATTAAACATAACAATGTTTTGAAAAAAATAAAATTTTTTTCAATGAAAATCGTTATGCATTCTTGACGCAATTAAATTTGACATCAGCAAATGTATAGAAAGTAAAAAAATATTTATTTAACATTCCTTTTAACAGAACCTGGGCTTATATAAGCTTTTTATTTAAAATAATAATTAAAGTATACAGTATACACAAAACACAAACCCAACACATATATATTTAATAGTTTAGTTTTTTAGTATCTCCACTATGTGAGAAAAAACTAAATAGGCGTGTTGGTACAAACTAACGTATATTATACACTTTCTCGTATCATCTGTTGCATGCGATCACGCCTGACCGGCAAGTAAGTATTTATAGGTAGACGGTAAAATATAATAAATACCCCTTCCCCCGATTATTCTTAATAGTTTCATTTTCAAATATTCAAATATAAATATTTTTATAAAATATGACGGCATTCCAAATTTTGTTTTTTCAAAATTAACTGCCTCTCTTTTTTGTTGTGAAACGTTAATGTTTTAATAACCTCAGTTGTCTTGTTTCTACAATCAGTAAACGTAGGTACGCGACGTACGCGTTTATTTGCATCACTGTTCAGTAACGGTTTAGGTGGACCACCGGCAACGCGTAGGTAAAGAAATACGTTAAAAGAAATTATGTGATAATAATATGATATGATAATATTATTGTTGTGGTATACTCGGCAGCACACTCGCAGATGATAAATTACATAATACAATACACATATTGCATATTGCATATTTATTTGCATATAATGTATACCTTTATGTCTCAGTCCATATCACAATAATAATTATCACATCGTATTAACTATATTTATTATTATATGAAAATTTATAAAAATAATATTTCACACAATATCCTTTTTTTTTTTTTTTTGATGCAAACACAGATCACGCGCTGTAGATCCATTACGACGATACACGAACGATGTGTGTAGTGTGTAATACACATTCGACTGACAATAATTACGAGTATTACCATACCGCGTAAAACAGTTGTCCTAAAATAAAAACTCTTGAGGAAAATCTCCCCGCGCAGATTGCGCACACAATAATTATGTTCGGAAGTACGGAATTACGGAAATTTATCGTTACGGTGAACGTTTTTATTATATTTTGCTACAGACTGCAGTACACGATACCGCCGTTGAGCAATAAATAATCACTAACTACACACCGGCCGGCGATCGAACGCAGTCAACCGGACGGGGTTCTGTCCGTCTTTGTCCGGCTGGTTCGTCTCCGGGTGTTGCATGGTAGTTACGTGTGTATATTATGCATATATATATGTATGTGTGTGTGTGTGTGTTTATAATTTATGTAAAATTTAATTTAATGTTATAGTATAAAATATTAAGAGCAGTGAACAGCTATAGACAAGTTATATAACTGCATGCCTGCATATAGGGCTGCACGCGAACTCGTTTATTCTCTACCCGCTTACACATTCTATACTAGTAAATTGGTATACATTAAATATAGTTACTGCATATTGTAGATAATATTATTTTATAAAGTGTTATATATATATATGTCTTTATTTCACTGAAAATAGATAAACTGATAATTGATACGGATACACCGAAAAATCTGGTTTTTTATTTAAAAAAAAAAAAATGTTTAAAATTTATACTGCAAGATGTTTTTGTTATGGGAAATCAAGTTGACATGGTTGTTATGAAAATAATTATAAGGGACATGTTAAAATTTTACTAACTCTATTGTCTTGAAAACATTATAATATTATTTTTTAATCTGGTCACCCTTAGCCAAATTCACATACAAAGCTATACAAATTACAAATAATGTGGTACTTCTTGATCGGTTACTTTCACAATATAAGCCATTGTTATTTGTTAGGTATATAGGTACATTAAATATGAACAGTTTAGGTATTCCAAGGGAATGTCGGTGGTTTAAATTTTTTTTTATTTGTTATTATTTTCGGTAACGTATATCATTTGTAAAATGTTCAACGGTATTCTTACTTCCTGTCTTGTACCCCTATGCAAAAAGATAGGCATTTAAT